TTCGTACATAGTGTTTTGTTTTCCGGCTTGCACTTGTGTTTTTAAGTGTCGTAGAAAGATGCAGACAGAAGACTGCCTCGATGCGTCCCCCTGGCAAAGGCCATGAGCATGCCAGGTCTCGGGGCGGTGAGTGGGTCAGCGGCGGCATCTGTGGCACCTCCAGAGAGCGATGGGGCGATGCTCACACCTCTGCCCGTTGTGTCTGCTCAGGACCTGGCCTGAGATGTGGCCGGGAGTTGGTTCTGTGGATGTTCACGTCGCTGGCGTTTGTAAAGTGAAGGAGGGGACAGCCCAGAGTCGGGAATCGGAGTGGGGATGGCTGCTGTGGTGAGGTGGTTTCTGAATAAGCTCAAATGCTTGAAATGTGATCTTTCTTTCATAAAAAGGCCAGGCATGGTGGTCCGTGCCTGTAACCCCAGCCCTTTGGGAGGCTGAGGCGGGATGATCCTTGAACCCAGGAGGTGGAGAATGCAGTGGGCTGCCCTCCAGCCTCAGGGGCAGAGCGAGAAAAGAAAAAGAAAGTACCACCTTATGTGTCTCATTTTGCTAAGATGCATCCTTTTTGTAAAACTGCTTATAGAAATACACCCAGTGGGCTGGGCACGGTGGCTCATGCCTGTAATCCCAGCACTTTGGGAGGCCAGGTCAGAAGGATCACTTGAGGCCAGGAGTTCGAGACCATCCTGGCCAACATGGTGAAACCACATCTCTACTGAAAATACAAAAAATTGCTGGGCATGGTTGTGGTCCCCCATAGTCCCAGCTACTCGGGAGGCTGAGGCAGGAGAATCACTTGAACTTGGGAGGTGGAGGCTGCAGTGAGCCAGGGTCACTCCACTTCACCCCAGCCTGGGCCACAGAGCGAGATTCCATCTCATAAAAGAAGGAAAGAAAAAAAGAGAAAAAGAGAAAGAGAAAAGAAAGGGAAGACAGGAAGAACGGAAGGAGGGAAGGAAGGAAGGAAGGAGGAAGAGAGGAAAGAAGAAAGAAGGAGCGAGAGAGGGAGGGAGGGAGGAGTGAAGGAAGGAAGAGGGAAGGAGGGAGGAAGGAGAGAAGGAAGAGGGAGGGAGGAAGGAAGGAGGGAAGGAAGAAGGAGGGAGGAAGGAGGGAAGGAAGAGGGAGAGAGGGAAGAAGGAGGGAAGGAGGGAAGGAAGAGGGATGGAGGAAGTAGGGAAGGAAGAGGGAGGGAGGAAGGAGGGAAGGAAGAGGGAGGGAGGGAGGAAGGAGGGAAGGAAGACGGAGGGAGGGAGGAAGGAGGGAGGGAGGAAGGAGGGAGGGAGGAAGGAGGGAAGGAAGAGGGAGGGAGGGAGGAAGGAGGGAAGGAAGATGGAGGGAGGGAGGAAGGAGGGAAGGAAGAGGGAGGGAGGGAGGAAGGAGGGAAGGAAGAGGGAGGGAGGGAGGAAGGAGGGAAGGAAGAGGGAGGGAGGGAGGAAGGAGGGAAGGAAGAGGGAGGGAGGGAGGAAGGAGGGAAGGAAGAGGGAAGGAGGGAGGGAGGAAGGAGGGAAGGAGACACCCAGTGAGTCTGTGAGTGTTGGCCACTGTGCAGGCTGAATGGATGTTGTATGCAAATTCACTCGAGTTTTTTATTTTTATTTTTTTGATTGCATTGAGTGTTGATCTTTAAAAAAGTTGACTCAAGTTGAAGATGAGTTAGAAGTTACTGGAATTATTATCAGTTCTGAGCTCAGGGCTCCAGCAAGCGAGTTGCAGCTCCAGGGACTGTGGCTGGTCAGAGACCCCCAACGGCAGCACAGCTGCCCACGGCCGCCCCAAGAAGGAAGCCCGTGGGGCGGGGCGGGGCAGGGGCAGCAGCATCTGTCTCCCCAGCGCAGGCCCTTCCCCCGTCCGTTTGGGCACTTTTTTTCTGAACCAGAGACACAAATTTGTAGAGCTGCCAAATTCATGCTGAAAATTTCTAACTAAAACCAATCTACGTAATGGGCTGGGTTATGATGCTCATTCTATAAACCGCTCCTGCTTTAAGCTGTGCACACACCGTGTTGTAAATCCGCAGACAACTCCAGAGCCGGTGCGGGGGTCAGCGGCGGACTTCACGTGTGAGGGTTCCCGTGAGGTCGTGAGAGCATTTTTTTCACTGCGCCTGTTCTGTGTTTAGATGTGTTTAGATTCACAAACACTGAGCGCTGTGGGGCAGTCAGCGGCCTTGCTCGGTGCAGCTGCGCACTGTGCCGACGTGTACCGTGCCCGGCAGCCGTGGGCCGCGCCGCGTGGCTGGGGTGTGCCCTGGCCACCCCGCTGGTTCCCACAAGTTCTCATGACGATGAAACGGCCTAAGGACGCGCTTCCCAGACCGTGTTCCCATCAGAAAGTGACGCCTGGCTGCACTTACCTAGTTACTCTACGTGACAGTCAAGCGAAAACTGCGTAGACGGCTTCATCTTTAGGAAACGCATCTGCCTCTAGCCAAACGCGGGGGGACTTTTCCTCCTTTCTTCTTCCCTCCTTCTCTCTCTCTCACTCTTTCTCGCTCTTAAGTTTCCTGGGAATCCAGTGAGCTCATTTTTTCCACTGTGAATTTTGTTTTTTATTTGTTTCTTTTTCAATTCATAGCAGAAGACAGGTCTGGGGCACCTGAGCTGGGCACTGCCAGGCACCGTCCACGACTTTTTCTGGCACCTGGCTGTCGGGGAGTGCGGTGGCCCCTGCGAAGGGCTCTCTCGTTGCCGGGCCCTGCAGCCACCCCCTCCCTTCCCCAGAAGCGCGGTCGTCCAGTGCTGTGTGTGGAGAGGCCCTTCTCCAGAGGCTCTTGTCCTGCCCGTGTGGCGCAGGGCGCTCGATTCAGCCGCCTTCCTTCTGCCTGGCAGTGTTAGCTGATACCGGGCACCCACGCTGAGAACCTCACGTGGGACGCAGCTCGGATGCACCGCCCGCGAAGCCCCGTCTTGGCGATTCCTCCATCAGGAAAGCTGCTGTGGCTGCCAGGGTCCACCGGGTACCTCGGGGCCATAACAACAGAGGGAACGTGGGTGGTCAGCCTGCCAGGTGCGTCTTTGGATAAATCCATTTCTAAGTTTTCAAATTACCATGAAGCTTCCAGTGTCGCGAAATATGTAGTCTTGTTAAGGAACATTTTAGATTTTGTATTTTTTAAAATGATGTGTTTGGTTCCATTCAAGCCGCCTCCTGGGCTTCTTCTCTTGGAAGGAGTCTTTTATCCTACCCCCTTTTACTTTGTTTGTTTTGAGACGGAGCCTTGCCCGTGGCCCAGGCTGAAGCATGTGGCCACCTTGGCTCACTGCAACCTCAACCTCCCCCAGCAAGGTGATCCTCCCTGCTCAGCCTTCTGCATAGCTGGGACCACAGGGGTGCACCGCCATGTCCTGCTAGTTTTTTTGGTTTGTTTTGTAGAGATGGGGTCTCGCCATGTTGCCCAGGCTGGTGTCGAACTCCTGAACTCAAGTGATCAGTCCCTGTTGGCCTCCCAAAGTGCTGGGATTACAGGTGTGAGCTGCTGTGCCTGGCCTTGCTTCTGTTTTTGAAAAGTCACTTTGGGTTCATGGTGTGTCCTGAGGTGTGGGGACCTTCAGGGGGCAGGAGGCAGTTTCCTTGAACCGGCAGATGCCCCCCCGCTCTGAGCCTGCGTTGCACGGAACCTGCCCTTCCTTCCAAAAAGCCGCCCCGCGCGTCCCACGTCTCTGTGGCTTGTACTTAAAACTGGTGTTGAGTGACCGTGGGCAGCTCTAGGCAGTAATCTAGTGGAGGGCTGAGTGACCGGCCAGTGGGGCTGGTTCTGAAGACGTGGCATTTGCAGGCCCTGTGTGGACAATGGCCTCAGCAGCCCAGCCACCCATGGTGCTCAGGGTGAGCCTGTATGCTGAGGATGGTCAGTGGGTCCCGGACAGGCTCTGCCCATATGGCGGTGAGGACAGTCAGTGGCCTCAGCCAGGCTCTGCCCACGAGACAGTGAGGACGGTCAGTGGGCCCTGGGCAGGCTCTGCCCATATGGCGGTGAGGACGGTCAGTGGCCTCAGCCAGGCTCTGCCCACGAGACAGTGAGGACAGTCAGTGGGCCCTGGGCAGGCTCTGCCCACCAGACAGTGAGGACGGTCAGTGGGCCCTGGGCAGGCTCTGCCCACGTGGCGGTGAGGAGGCGCCCAGCCTCCTGAACAGGGTGGAAGGTGGCTTCTGCATGGATGGTGCTGCACTGGGGCTTCCTGCAGGCCACCCCCTAGATGCAAGAACCCCTCGGGTGCACGGTGTGGCCCCGGGGAATGCTGAGTCAGTCCGCAGCAGCCTCCTACACAATGCCCTCAGGAACACTCTCCCGCCGAGGGCACGGGCAGAACCTTACCTTAGCCTTCCACCCCAAACACTCCTCTCTCCAAAGGATGGGGGCCGTGGGCTCCAGGGCAGACCCAGCACCTGCCACCCGCCAGGTCGTGCAGCTCCTGTCCCTCTGTGCAGAGTAATGGACAGGCTACCCAGGCCCTCACCGTCATGCCCCGCCTGCTGTGCTGCCCGCCCCCGACCCAGCCCTCCATGGACGCCCGGTTCCTCCTGCTGACCCTCAGTTGGGCCTTTTTGTTCGTCTTGCAGCAGTCATGGAATTTTGGGGCTGCCGACATTGCGCTCAGCACGTCTTCCAAACCCACCCATTTATGGAGAGCGCAGTTAGTCTCCTGCCCGGCAGCCGCTGCACAGCTAGCTCATGGCGAGGAGAGGTTGGAGCTTCCTGGTTCTTAGACTACAGCCCCTACCTCTTAGATGATTTTTAAAACGATTTTCAGTGAGTTCAAAACCTGTCTTGGTGGAGGGTTGAGCAGCTGATGGTAGAAGCTTGTCATGGAGGAAGAGGAGTACGTTAAGGCTGTGCTTGGAAAATGTTTCCAGAACAGGCGGGCGGTGACCTGACACAGGCTGACACAGGCTTGTCAGTCTCAGGTCGGGACCTGCTTTTGGGGTGAGGTGTCGGCCTGAGACAGTGCGGGGTGTCCCCACGGAGGTACCTGGGAGCTGACACCTGCTCTGTTCCCTTCCAGCCCGACCCTGCCTGCCCTGGACTGGCAGCTGCCGTCTCATTCCGGCCCGTACGAGCTCCGGATCGAGGTGCAGCCGAAGTCCCACCACCGCGCCCACTATGAGACGGAAGGCAGCCGCGGGGCCGTGAAGGCGTCAGCCGGAGGACACCCCGTTGTGCAGGTAGGCGCTGCGGCCGGACTCACAGGCCACTCGCTGCTTTTCTGGTTCAAAAGTAACTCTGGCACTGCAGCTAACTGTGCTTGCACCGTGGAGCGTCCCGGCCAGGCCAGCTGTGTGCTCCTTTGTGGTGGGTCCCGGGAGCTGCTCTCCGCCTCTGACCTGGAAGGGAGTGTGGCACGGCCCCTCCTCCGCCTTCGCATGCCCAGGCCCTCTCCCGTAAGCGGGTCCCGTGTCCGTGGTGCTGCCTGTGGTGTGGATGTTACATGGGGTTGACTCTCCCCTCTCCAAAGCCTCTGAACTTGGAGGCAGGGTTTCCCGCCAGCAGCACCAGCCTCACAGTGTGGGGAGGGTCGTCAGAAATGCAGGTTCTGTGGCCCACCCAGGCCTGCAGAATCGCATACTCTGGGCTTGGGGCTGGGGCTGGGGCCTGTTTTCAGCAGGGCCGCTCGGGGGCACCAGGGCCCAACTTGCTTCCTGAGGAGAAGAGAAGGAGGCGGCTTTCAGAGAGGGCCTGGGCTGGGCGACCCTGCAGCCTTGTCCCTGCCTGACTGCCCGGGCTCTGGTATGGCTTCTTGCCTTGTTCACACCTCGGGGGAAAGCCACGTGGAGTTAGGATGTCCGTCGGCTCCCTCCAGGGAGGTGAGCAGTGACCACGCCGGGGACACACAGCCGTGCCCCTGTGCATCCCAGTCATCGATGTGGACCCCGGGTGGCCATGGGTGTCGGTGTTTCCTTCCATCAACCTGTCACCTCATTAGCTCTAGACCCCAGGCCCCGGATCTGCTGCTTTGGCCACAGGGCGGGAAGTGAGGCCTGGCCCCAGATCCCAGGTTCCAGGGTTCCAGGGCTCCTGGCCGCACAGCAACACGGAGGACATTTTTCCAGCACACCCCAACAGCAAAACCTGGGCGCCCCAGCCCCATCGTTTAGGGAATGATGCAAGCTGGAAGGGGTGCTCAGCGGGGTGCCCCGTGTTTTTATTTCCTTCCATTTAGGTAAATAGTGGAGGGAAGGCGGCCACAGGGACAAATGGCTGTTTGCCAACGCAGCGGCCGGCACGTGGAATTAGCAGGCAGGGCGCTGGGCGAGCACTTTCGCCGGCACGCGCAGATGATGACGTGACGTTTGTGGCCTGTGTGCTTGATGCCAATTAGTACCTACCTCGTCGGCTGCTTGAAGCAGGGAAAAGCCGGAGACGCATCAGCGCCCAGCGGCCAGTTTGACATTTAAAGTCTCCGCCTCCCAGGTGGAAAAGGTGGGACAGTGCTGTGCTCGGTCACTGCAGGCGTCTGCCTCCCGTTCCTGCCTCGGTGTTCACTGACTGAAAGCCTGTTATTGCTCAATGGGAAGGAGATTAAAAGGGCCTGGAAATGAGGCTGAGAAGAAGGAGTGAAAATAAAGCAATAGAGGAAATAATGGCCCGGCCCCCCGTGTGCCATGAATTACGTTGGTGAAGGGCGCTCGCTGTGCTTGTGGGAGCAGGGCGGGCTGTGTCGCCCCCTTCACCGTGTGCAGATGAGGGGCAGCCGCAGGAATTAAGGTTGTTATTTGGAGGATAAAGTGGGACTGTGAGCGTGGAGAGCAGTGAGGTTTGGTTTTGTTTGTTTGTTTGAGATGGAGCCTCGCTCTGTCGCCCAGGCTGGAGTGCAATGGCGCGATCTCGGCTCACCGCAGCCTCTGCCTCCTGGGTTCAAGCAATTCTCCCGCCTCAGTCTCCCGAGTAGCTGGGACTCCAGGCAGCCCTGACTTTCCGTGGATGTATTTTCACCCCTCTGTGAGTATCTCGTGCCGGTGACCCCGTGCCGCGAACACAGCTCAGCACCGGGCCCTCCTGCCCGTGTCTCCCGGAATCCCGTCTCCGGTTTTGCCGTCCGGGTGTCTTGGGCTTTAGGGTGCTGAATCTGTCAATACAGATGCGATCGAGAGGATCCAGGCGTTCAGGAGGACCCCAGAAACTCGAAACAGCGATTTTAAATGTCTAAAATGCACCCTCAACAATGACTCCAAATCAAACGGCCTGTGTGCACAGCAGCAGAACGGGAGGGGCTGGCCCTGTGTCCTTTCCACTGACGCGCAGGAGAAAACCGTCCCTGCATGGAAAACGTCAGGTCAGCATGTCTCATTTGTGAGAAATGAGTCACGTAACGAGCTTTCTGTTGCATCAGTGGCAGACTGAATTTCTGTCTATGCAAGTGCAGGGTAAACAGGTAAAGAGAGGGGTTTTTGGGGTTTGTTTCTCTTTCAATTGTTGGACCGCAAATGGGATGAAATCAGTTTGTGTGGAACTAGAAAACGAATGAAAACAGAAAGTTCTCAGCTGCCGTGGAAGCGCATAGCCACGGACGTGCCTCCGGCCTTTGGGTCATTTAGCACGTCCTTTCCTGCTTTTCAGAAGTGAGGCTGTTCACCTGGCCTGGGGCGCAGGGACGAGGCCGTGGGTGGTGGGCACCGCGGGCAGCGTCAGAGCCCCTGGGAGCCACGGCGGGAGTGTCCTGCGTTTGAGAAACGCTGTTCCCTTTATTGTGAGTCGCCTGTCCGCTACATCTCAAAAAGCTTGTCCAGAAAATGAAAGCCCAGCAGCGTGTCCTGTGGCACACACGCGCCCTGGCAGAGCCCAGGAGGGGGTGGCGGGGCCTGGGGGGTGGGTGCCAGCTCTTGCGGTCAGGAGCACGTCCTGTGCCTGTATCCCGCGTCCCCATCCCCACGTGTTTTGCAGCTGGGAAGAGAAGCGTAAGAGCAGGGGTGGCGCCTTCTCTCCAGGAAGCATCCGGAGCGTGGGCCCCGGGTTAGGAAAGACTGTTGCTCTTCCCTGTGGGCGCTGAGGTGCGGGAGGGACGGCTGGCGTCAGGCTCCTCCTGTCTAGGGCCTTTTCCTTCAGGGGGAAGGAGGCCACCCGGTCCTGCCAGTGCTGAGGGAGCCCTGCTGTCTGTGTGAATGTCATTCCTCCGCCGGGAAGAGACCAGCCCAGGCCACTGTCCACTGTCTCGTGGCCACATTCTTGTGATCACACCATTCGTACCCCGAGGCAGCATCGAAGGAACAGAGTCGTGGCTTAGACTGGAAGGGCGGGTCCCTGGAGCTGCCTGTGAGGGGGTCTGGGTGAGGATGGCCGGCAGCCCCTGGGGGACGTGGTCCCTGTGGAGTCTGGCAGGACCTCGGCCATGGTGGTGGCCGCAGCCCCTCTGTGGGGGTGGGTCTTTCGGGTTAGGACAGCCCAGCCTCTGGAGAGTGTGATGGGGACACTGCAGAGAGGGGTCCAGTGTGGGACTCCAGCACGTGGCTGACCAAGGCCCGTTTAGGACTCACGTGACCTCGGCAGAACAGCAACTCAGAGCCTCCCAGAGGTTCTGGCCGGGCAGGAATGACCAGCAGCCCACCCAGCCCTGGCTTCTGCCCATACAGCCCCCGGGTCACGGCCCTCCTGCCCCTGCTCTGGACCCTAGCTGCCGTTCTCAGTGGACTGGCCTGGACCTGCAATGCCAGGAGCTCTCCAGGCCGCTGTTTGCAGGGAAGGCTGAGGGGCGGCCACCTGCTCTCTGCTGTCTCCTCACCAGCATTTCTAGTGACACCTGAAAGGGACACACAGGACAGCTTTCCCCCAAATCCCAGCTCACACTGGGTGTCCTTGTTGGTGGCAGTCCGACAGCCTCCATCCTCCACCCTCCACACTGACCGCAGACTCTGCCTGTGTGTGAGGTCCTCTGCATGCAGCTCCTCACCCCGGAGGCCCTGTCCTGTGCTCAGTGAGGCTGGGACCGGAGTTCATGAGGGCTCTGGGGGCTGCTGGCTTTTCTTCTTGTGTCCCCACCTCGTTCCCACACAGCCTCCGTCCTCAGTCCTGCTCGCCTTCTGGGGACGCAGACATCAGCCATCAGGCTGGCTCTCGGAGGTTTTCCATTGGGATGGTCTGGATGAGGCGGGCCAGGGTTCCTCCCCTCTCTCTGGCCAGGGAGGGAGGAGAAACCCCCCGGACACAGCGCCGAGGCCTTCTTGTGCAGCCCACTGCGTTTCCAGGTGTGAAGGTGGAGGCTGGTCCTCTGCCCGTGTGTTCCCATCCGGGGACCGTGGCCCTGTCCGGGCAGGAGCTGAGGGTCACTTTCCTCCTGTTTTCGGTCGAGGTTCCTTCCTTTGCTCCTGCCCTCTTTGCCTGCTGTGTTCCTCACACTTGTCCCTGCGTCCTTGGCCTGCGTCCTGCACTCTCCCGGACGTGGCGGGAAGGGCCCAGGGCCCTGGGGAGATGTCTTTGCCATGCATCCTGGCCCTCGGCCCCGATCTCTGCAGCACCCTCCACCCCACGGGGGCACGTGGAGCTCTGTGGGATGTAGCCTGACCTCTGACCCAGGGTCAGAGAATATAGGTCCGTTTACCAAGTCACCAAAACAACTTTCCCGATAGCATCTTAGCCACCACACATGAGGCTGGTCTCATGTGAATAATTAATAGGTCACTGGAACGTGAAACAGGAGCCTGGGCCCATTCTGAAACAGCATTTCAGGTTTGCGGCTGGTGATATCATCAGTTAGGAGGGGGCAGCTGAGTCCCTGGTTTGGGACTTGGCCTCAGCTGCGCGGGTGAGAGGGGCTTGCGGGGCAGGCAAGGACCCAGGCCCGGAAGGCCGGACTGGCCCCAAGCACAGGGCAGGGCGGGCCTGCTGGTGCCCACGGCGGTCTCATGGGCGCCTCCCTCAGTCGCCCGGCTCTTAATGTCAACTTTGCCCCCATAGTCTGGGGCAGATCTTTTTTCTGTCATGTAAGAAACAACAGCTGAAGGCCAAGGAGTGGAGCCCACCCCGCCGCAAGCGGCTCTTCCTTTCTGCCCCATTAAGTGGGCATTGGGCTGGGCTCCAGCTGTGATTCATCCTCACTTTGTGAGGTGCCTCTCCCCCGCCGGCAGGGGCTCAGCAGGGTTAAATACTGTGAGGAGCCGGTTCCTGAGAACCTGTGAACGCCGTGGGTAGACGACCACAGCGTGCACGGTTCCGCCTGGAACCTCCACCACAC